GCATTCCTCTAGCCCAGATGTCACCCCTGAACGCCAGCCCCTCTGGCCCGCTGCCTGCTCAGCGAGTCCGCCGGGATGCGTACCCTGACCACAGCCCCTCAGTCTTCCCCACAGAGTTCCCGGAGCTCCTTCCTTCCTCTGCTCAAGCTAAAGACCTTAGTGTTGCTGGCTCTTCTTTCTCACTCCGCATCTGTACCCCAAATCCTGTTTGCTCTTCCTTCAAATTATATCCCAAGTCCAACCGCATCTTCCCACCTCGACTGCTACCCCTCTGGCCTAGCCGCCACCGGCTCTTGGCTGGGTTGGCGTGACGGCCTCCTCACTGGCCTGCTGCTTCCACCCTGGTGCCCACATGGCCGCCAGAGGAGTCTAACATTAGGATGTCAGATCACGTTGCTACTCATCTCAAAATGCTGTCTAACATTACGATGTCAGATCACGTTGCTACTCATCTCAAAATGCTCTGACTGCTTCCCATCTCACTGAGAATCAGATTCAAGTCCTTACCACGTCTCATCAAGCCCTAGTAATTATAATTATCATCCCTGCCATATGTTAGGCACAGCTGATCCCTGAACAATGAGCGGGTTAGGGGTGCCAACTTCCCTCGCAGTTGAAAATCCATGTGTAACTAGTTGGCCCTCTGCATAAGTGGATGTGGATTCTCAATCACAGAGCTGACCCTTGAACAACTCGGGTTTGAATTGTCAATGGGAAAAAAAAATCTGCGTATAAATGCACCTGTGCAGTTCACACCCGTGTTGTTTAAGGACCGTGTGCTCTCTGCCAGACCCTGTGCTCCTCACAATAACCCTGTGAGATGAATATTATCCTAACCTTCATTCTACTGTGAAGAAACTGAGCCTCAGAGAGATGAAGTCGCTATTCTAAACTCACATCATGAGTAAGTGGGTTAAATAATGCGTTCGTTCCTCTTACTGCCACTTCCTTAACGATCACATAAGTTTTAATGCTGATGAAGATGAGGCTGATAATAACGGCTATCACATAACTCAGGCCTCACTATGTGCCAGGCATCTTGCTAGTATTTTCACCTCTCTGTGCCCTTGTTTCCTCATTTATATAACTGGAATAATAATATTACCACCCAGGATAACTGTGAGGATTAAATGAGCTAATACATAAAATGGCAAGATCTCAAAAAACGTTAGCTTGTTTCAGTTAGCTATTGCTGGGTAACAAATCATCCCAAAAACACAGTGGCTTAAAATAGCAACCATTTATTTGCTCATGAGTCTGTAATTTAGACAAAGCTCAGAGGGCGAGGTGAGTCAGAATGGCTCATCTCTACTCTCTGTGGTATCTTCTGGGAGCTGGGCTAGAGTATGCAAGATGGCATCCCTCATTGGCACATCAGCTATAACAGTAGGACAGGTGGGGCTGGCTGGGCCTCTTAAACATCTTTCTCCGGCAGGGTAGCTGGACTTCCTTACACAGCAGCCTGGGGCTCCAAGACAGCGAAGCAGAAGCTGCCAGATCCTTTAAGGCCTGAGCCCCCCAAGTGACACAGTGTCACCTCTAGTGCATTCTCTTGCCTCTTCCCCTTTAATCTCCTGCCCAGATTAAAGGGGAAGAGGCGACAGGAGAAACAGCAAAGAATGTGTGGCCTTCATTGGCAGCAGCTATGTTAATTTCACAGGAACAGCCTCAGCACTGGTCTCTACTTCAGTCCTTAATCCTCTATGTCAGTTCCCCACGCAACAGCCTGACGGATCTGTTAATATACATAACTGACCAAGCCTCCTTCACCTTTAAAATTCTTCTGCAGTTTCCCATTACAGATGGAGTAAGGACACTTTCCTTACAGGGTCAACATGGCCTGGCTCTTGCTCCCCCTCAGCCTCCGGGTTGCACACACACGCATGCACACATGCACGCACACTCTCTCACCACTTAACGGACGGAGCCCATGCCTACTTCTTCACCACCTCAAACCACGGCCCCCAGGGTCGGGATTAGATTTCCTGTCAAATGCTCCTACAGCACGCTCTACCTTTTTTTTGTGATTTCATATTTGTGTGATTAGCTGATGATTTCAAACCCCCACCACGAGACTGTGAGCTCTCTGGGAGCAGGGAAATTATTTTGTTCTCTGCTGTGTTTCCACTGCTGAGCACGAAGCAGAGGAAAGGTGAAATATTTATCGAATGTCTGAAACCTCAGAAAATTTTAGGGCAGCCCCTCAAAGTTTGTGGAAAGGGGATTGACAGGGTCTCTGAGGTGCCAAGAGCTCTTCTAAGTGTTGGAGATAAAGCATGAGGTAGACGAAAGCGGACGGGGGCTGGGCTGGGGGACAGATAATAAGATAAATTGTATAGCGTGTTAAATAGCGACCTAATGAATGGTAAGGAAAAGTTAAAGGGAAGTTAATATGTGAACGTTAGTGGTACAATTCTCCTAGTGGTACAAGGGTGGTCAGGGAAGAGCTCACGGAGAATGTGGCATCTGAGCAAAGGCCTAAAGGAGGTGGAAGTGGAGGTGAGCCTTGACTACCTGGAGCAGTGCTCCGGGTTAAGAGAACAGTAGGTGTAAAGGCCTTGAGGCCAATGTGGCTGGAGCAGTGAGCAGGGAGAGGGGACTACATGACGTCAGAGGGGTAACAGGGGCGGTTGGGCAGGGCCTTGTGGGCCATGGGGAGAACTTTGGCATTTACTCTCTGTGGGATGGGACCACAGGAGGGTACGGAGCAGGGGAGGAATGTGACCTGACTTAGGTGTTCACAGCGTCCCTCTGGCTGCATGTGAGGAACAGACTTTGGGAGCAGGGAGACCACTGAGGAGGCTGCCATGACAGTCTAGGCAGGAGATGAGAGTGGACAGGACCAAGGCGACAGCAGTGGCGGTGGGAAGAAATGGCTGGTCAGGTTCTGAATACACTTTGAAATTTGCTGATGGGTCAGATGTGGGTATAAGGCAAAGAGGGAAGTCCAGGACAATTCCAAAGCTTTTGGTCTGAGCAACTACAAGGATGGGGGCAGCATTTACTGAGCATCTGGGAAGAACAGGTTTCGGGGATAAAACCAGGCGCTGGGTGGAGTGGGGAGCAGGAGTTCAATGTGGCCAAGATTACTCTCCAAATGTCTCTAGATATCTAAGAGGAGATATCATGTAGGCAGTCAGTGGGTTGCAGGAGAGGTTCTGGGCTGGAAACAGAAATTTGAGATATACGTGTCTGTGCTTATCAGTCCCAAATTCCTTACAGGACCTACAGGATTTCGCTTCTGCTGATATTCGAGGCTCATCTTATGCCTGGCTAAGTCACACACCCCCCCCGAATCCTGAGCCCTCTGCTTCCTAGCTGTGTGATCTTGGGCAAGTTACTTAAATTTCTCTGCCCTCGGTATCCTCATTTGCAAAAGGGAGGTCATAATGGTACCAGCATCCTAGGACTGTTCACTGATAAAAAGATTTTTTAAATTAAGCATCTACAATATACCGGCCACTGCCCTACGTGGTGGAGACATCCCTTGCCCGCCCCTCTCCCACAGTCTGAGAGCCGTACATGCAGCCTGTCCACTCAGCCTTCCGCCCATCTCTCCCACCCAACCCTTCCTCCCCTCTCAACCCAGATCCCTGCCCTGGTTCATCCTCGAGGTAGCTGGCCTGGGAGCCTGCCGCAGCCGCCAACCTGGGCTCCCAGACCCAAGTCTCTTTCACGTCAATCAACGGCCAGATGGCATCGAATTGGGCCATGCCCCTTCTCTTCCTGACATCGTCCTGTGGCTCCTCATCGCCCTCAAGACAAGGTCCGAGCTCCCTAAATAGCCAACAAAATCTTCCACGATTTAATTCATACAGAACTTTCAATTAAATCTCCACCAACACGACTGCCAGGCCGTTTCTCACCGCTGACTTCTGGCAAGCCGTCCCACCGCACCGCCGCCGACCTCGAGCGCCGCTCGGTCTTCGGGTCTCAGGTCGGGAAGGTTTCTCGTCTTTCCTCTGGGTTCCCCCCGCGTTCTACGCTGCCTCCGTTAGAGAACACACGCAGACTGGGTTTTCCCGCGAGCTGGGCCAGACACGAGGCTAGCGATGCCCCGCACGACGGGCCCGCTGCCAGCCTCAGCGCCCACCTCCGGCTCTGCAGCCGCGAGCTCTCCGCGAAGTCCAGTCACGCAGCCGCCACACGCCTCAGAGAAGTCAACACCTGCGCGCAGCTCGGGCCCAAACCGCCCAATCACGGCCTCCTCCTCCTCCGCAGCCCGCCTCAAACCCCCCGGGCCCGCCGGCTCCTGACTGCCGATTGGCCACCCGACTCTCCGCCCCGAAAGACGGGAGCGAAAGGAACTCTGGCCTTTGTAGTTGCCCAACGAAAAGTGGGCGCGGACCGCCAGGCGGAACTCCACTTCCCGGGAGGCGCCGCGCCCCAGTGGTGGAAGACGACGCCCTTTAAACCAGGCGCCTCTTGATTGGCCGTTTGGGAGACGTTTCCAAATTGCCATGGAAACAGTCCCGCTTACCTGGAACCCCGGGAATATCTTTTTGCCTGAGAATCTCAAAACGCCTTGCTCTGCAATGGTTCCAAAGGGTGAAACCAGACGTGGGGGTGGTAAAGTCTGTACCACTGTTTGCCCGCCATTCCCCAGATGGCACCAATAAGTCCACTACATGTATTCAGCACCTACTGAATGCCTGCCTGGCATAAAGAGCCACTCCTGCGCAGTCTGTAGACGCCCTAGCTTATGTGGGCAGAACCTGATGTTTCCAGGCGACAGGCCAGAGTTAGGCCCTTACCCTTTTGGGGTCTCAGTTTACCCTGGAAAAGGCAAACGCGAGCTAGGATCCTATCCAGGATCTCTGTCTAGGATTCCTTAGGCCCACACCTCCTGCAGCCCCATGTTGGCGCCAATAGCCATAACTTCCCCATGGACATATCCTGCAAGACAAAGCTCTTCCAGGATCCCCTCCCCAAACACCATTCCCCAACATGCCTCCGTGGGCCCAGTGAGGTGAGCCGGGGCCCCGCAAACGCTCAGGCGGGCATGTGAGAAAGCTCTTTACTGGGGGGTACAGCAAGGAGGAGCAAGGCCATCTCCGCCTACCTGCCCCCACCCCCTCCTAGGGCCCTGGGGTGAGGGGGGATCTCCCCCGCACCGGACCACCACTGTCTTTGGTACAATAAATAGAAAACAAGGGGGAGAGGGGCCAAGGGTCCAATCCTTAGTGGGGAGGGTGCGCTTAAACCCCTCTCCTTGACCCCCTGCCCCAGGCCCCAATCAGTGCAGGCCTCACCCACCCCAGCTGGGTAGCAGCAATTCCAGTCAAGGGGAGAGATGAGGATGGGAGCCCAGGGCCCCCAGATGGGGGGTATGGCTTCAGGAGGGGCCCTAGGGAAGGGGCAGGGTCATGAGCTGGCTGCCGTGCTCTGGGGTACACCACGGAGGCCCAAGCGAGGCCCCAGAGTGGCAGGGTCATCAGGGGGTGGGAGGGGTGGACGACCTCCCGTCATCCGAGTCCGGAGGGCTGAGGCAGCCGGGTGCTGGGGGGCAGGCGCTGGGTGGAGTGGGGAGCAGTCCGGAGGGCCGCCCGCAAGGCTCACATCCATCAGCTCTGGGGGTGGTGGCGAGGTTGGTGATGGAGGACGGCCAAGGCATCGGGCTTGGGGGGGTAACTGGGCTCCAGCCCCTGGCAGTGATGAGGCAGAGGCAGGGGCCTGATGTGTCTTGTGGGGTACATCGCCCCCTGCCCAGGGGCGCAGCGGCTGGGAGGGTGGGACCTAAAGGGCAGAGGAACAGTGAGTGTTGGAGACATAAGTCCTGAAGCCCCAGATATCCCACCTCCCACCTCCAAAGGCCTCAAGGCCCTAGTACCTGGGGGCTGTTCATCTCACAGTCAGTGATGGGGGGTCCAGGGCCCCCACAATATCGGTTGCTGTAGCGGTAGGTCCGGTTGTCACTGGAGGAGCCACTGGAGCCTCCTGAAGTGCCAGGGGAGGAGAGAAGAGGCCTTCGGTAAGGAGAGGTGGTGGGTTTTTCGGTGACTGAATCTGATTCATGGCTCAGGCCCAGGTTTGGGCTTTGGGTTCTGTTCTCATTTGAAGGATCAGGCCCAATTTTGAGATTAGGGGTCAGAGTTCAGTTAGAGGTTTGAGCCCAAGCTCAGTTTTAGAGATCAGGTCAGGGCCAGTTGGAGCTCTCCTGCCCCATCCTTTGGAGTTCAGGATCATGCAGCTTCCAAACTATGTGGAGGCCCAGTGGCAAGGTCCCCCCAGGTCAGGACAAACCAGAGCTGCCCCGACCTGTCCTACCCCACTTGACACTGGGCACCCACCAGAGCTGGAGATGGAGCTGGCGGTGCTGGAGGAGGGGCAGGTGTCGAGGGGCGCGGGCGAGGTGGAGGCACTGCTGCCTGCCGGGCCCGTGTTGGTGGCCTCATCAGCCGTGCGGCGGAAGAAGCCGTGCTGCAGAGCCCCCAATGGGCTGATGCGGGCGGCGGGCTCATACTCCAGCATGCGCAGCACCAGGTCCTGGAAGCGGAGGTAGTCGGCGGGGCTGTGGCCCGGCTCCCCCGCCCGCCGGCCCCCGGGCCCGCCCGT